CTTCAAAGAGCCGCACGAGCCGGTCCCCAAGGGCACCGAAGGCCAAATCCCAAACCCGACCGTGAACACCGTCAGGGCCGGGGGCCGCGTCTTTCCTCCGCATCCTCGACACGGCCGCACGCATCTCCTGCTCCGATATGCTCGGAGGGACCACCTCAGCAGGGGCATCACCGCTCGCGTCAAGGCGTGGCGGCACGCCCATGAAGGGGGGCTCAAAGTCCCTCTCCATCCGCGGGAATAGCCCGGAGACAATATCCCGCAGCTGCTGAGGCTGGAGACGCTCCGTCACCGGGAGCGCCCACGGTCGCAATTTCTTGCGTACCGTCTGGTACGGGCGCCCCCAGGGATCCTGATCGAGCGTCTCCAGGAGCGTCTTCATGCTCTGAGACTTGGCCTCGCCGATGGCCCGCCGCAGAGCCTCCTGCTTCTCACGGCAGTCGGCATGTAAGCGGGCCGCCACCTCCGCGAACTTGCCACCTCCGCGAACTTGTTCACCGACCTACGTTATCTATTTTTATTTATTTATACTTTAAGCGACTAACGAATTTAACTTAACTATATACAAATGAGCCTCGAACTTTTCAAATCAGATCGTTAAATCTCCTCGAATAAAACACAAAGAACTTAGGGGTTGGAATTGGAGAAAGAAAGCCACGAAAAGATCAGACTGGAGAGATTTACCAGGTCCACCCGCAGCTGTAATGCCTCAGATGATTTACTGGTGGTAGGACCTCTCTGAGTCCGCACGGGTAGGTACCACCGCCCTGCCTATTTCTGCCGTGAAGCAGTAATGCGTTTCGGTTTGAAGGGTGGGGCAGCCGTTGTAACTATAATGAGATCTTAGAACTTATATCTCAAGGTGGATGGCGCATTTACGTTGTTGATGGCCATGGGCTCCAGTAACCACTTTACACCAGGTGGGCTGTGAGCTCGTCCACCGACCTAAGCAACAACAACAAAAAATAGATGATAATAATACTACATATAAACGCGCTTAAAATTTAACTTCCTAGCTCCCTCAAGACTTTTCAGGGGCTCGTAGACTAATAATAGCGAACAATAGCTCTCCAACTCTTGGAAGGATACGTACGTGGTACGTAATCGCGCAAGATCACACTCAACACGCCATAATTGATTACGTTTTGATGGATATTTATTTTTATTTTATTTATTTATATCATTTATTTTGTGGAAGGCATTGGGGAAGGCCTATGTCCAGCAGTGGGCAGATAAAGGCTGATGATGATGATGATGATGATGATGATGATGGTTTGCTTCAGATTTTGCATCCATATTACGTTCATTAAAAATAACATTTCACATAGACTACAAAAATTCAATAAACTTTATTGCATGATTTTGTTTCTTTGCATGGTAGTGATTCCCTTAGTACGTACTAGGTGCATAAGTACTTTACAAAAATGGTTGGTATTATATGTCATCAGGCCACGGGCGTTAGGTCGTACGTTGCACTCTAAAGATCACTAGAACTGGCCTTATTTATATAATGTTTCTATCTCCAAAACGTATATATATGCTAGGCTAGTGAATAGTAAAATATGTAATGTTGAAAATTATTTTGGTATTTTGACAACCTGATTGTCTATTTATCACGTTTTATTTCTATGGCTTCTTAAAAATACGACAATTTGTTTTGATAGTGTGATTACTGAGGTTGTTTTGTTTCATACAATGCTCCCCAATATTTTATTTTTGGCAAATACAGCACGGATTTGTTTTTGGTTTGGTGTATGTAATAATAATTCAAATTCATATAAAACAAATAATAATAAAGCGAAATGACGATCGTTACAAATTAAAATACAACAAATTTAAAACAATGTTATTGTTGGGCTGTTGTGACAAGGTGATGCTCGAGTTCTGCGAGTCCACCATATCGCAGAAGGAGGCGGCGGAAGGAGAGAGAAAGAGAGATAGCTCTTCTCTAACCCTACTGGTCCGTCGCCGTCAAGCCGTAGACCGGAAGAGGGAATTCGAATGTTCGTCCCGGCCCCTCTGTAGGAGGCGGCTTCCCCTCGGTGAAGGTCAAAAGGTGACCTGAAGGGGCAGAGCGCGCGGTATGCTACCTGCACTCTAACGTGCTGCCGAGGAGGAACACTATCATCATGAAAAAAAGAGTAATCAGTTGGTGGTGTATCCTGTCCTGACGAGGCAGGTTGCTTCTGGTCCAGCGGGGTATTCCGGGACACCAGCTGTACTGCCTGAGCGGTCTGACAAGCTGCCATAACGAGACGCCTAATGTTTCAGAGCCTTCGATTCGCCTCGAAGGCTCCGTCAGCCGGGCGTCCTAGGGCTGCGTTATCTGGTTTCAGTGTTGATCATGGTAACCCGTTACCCCTCCCGGGTTCTGACCTCGGGAGGATCGGTCGCTTGGACGAGAGTGCAGTGGAGTTGTTTAGTGATTAGTGCCCCAAATTCCATCCCATGGGTCCGCTGTCCGCTCCTAGCATCTGCGGACCGTCTAGTTAATAGTTTATAGGCTATTCCGTTTCACTGCTGAACATCTACTACATGATATTAAATCTAAAACATGTGGGAGAAGATGTGGGCGAAACGCTAGTATAAAAATATATTGTAGTAGTATGTAGAAGCAGTAATGCGTTTCGGTTTGAAGGGTGGAGCAGCCATTGTAACTACACTGAGACCTTAGAACTTATATCTCAAGGTGGATGGCGCATTTACGTTGTAGATGTCTATGGGCTCCAGTAACCATTTAACACCAGGTGGGCTGTGAGCTCGTCCACCCACATAAGCAATAAAAAAAAACGTGTGGGCCCGTACGTATACATACATAATATACACATATCAATCACCATTCTGTCTATTTCTGTCGTGAAATAATCATATGTTCCGCCGTTATGGGACAGCCGTTATAAAACACAATTGAGACTTCGATTTCATGTTTAGAGGTGCTTTTAAACTCCAGTAAGACTTCGTAATACCAAATAGAGGTTGAGGTCATTGCATTCATAAAAACCAACTAAAAACAACCTACTTTTCA